TGTCCTAAGTATCACCAGTGCTTGGTCCCCTCTTGTTAAAACCGGTGGCTGTTCAGTCTTTGTCATTGACTCTTTTGCTGTTCTTACTCCTGATTATACTTGCATGGTGTTTGGAACTCCAGTACTTTGAATTTCCTGTAGTATGGGGTTGGCCAGAAACTTAGTTCAGTTTCCTATACAGTGGTTCTAGTAGTTCTTAGTTGTCTTTAACTTCGTTGGACACAGTTCTGTAAGAGTCTGTTATGACAGCTGTCCTATCAATGTGCATTTAAAAAAAGAAAGACTTAGCAACATTGGTGAGTTTTGTGTAGGCATTTTAATATTGAAGATGGAAGAAAAATGCAGTGCTTTTAGCATATTATAGTTTATTATTTCAAGAAAGGTAAAAAACTGAAATGCGAAAAAGATTTGTGCGATGCATAGAGAAGGTGCTGTGATTGATCTAATGTATCAAGAGTGGTCTGTAAAGTTTCTCATGCTGGAAATTTGTCACTGGATGCTGCTCCACCCTCCAGTACTGGTTGAAGTTGATAGTGATCAAGTCAAGACATTGAGAACAGTCAATGCTATGCCATGTGGGAGATAACCAGTGTACTCAAAATATCCAAATCAAGTGTCGAAAATCATTCACACCACCTTGACTGTGTTAATCACTTTGATGTTTGGATTCTACACAAGTTAAGCGAAAAAAAACCTTGACCATGTTTCTGCGTGCAGTTCTCTACTTAGACGTAATGAAAATGTCCTGTTTTTAAAAGAAATTGTGGTGGGTGATGAAAAGTGGATACTGTACAATAATGTGGAATAGAAGAGATCATTGGGTAAGCAAAATGAACCACCACCAGCCACACCAAAGGCTGGTCTTCATCCAGAAAAGGTGATTTGTTTATGGTGGGATTGGAAAGGAGTCCTCTATTATGAGCTCCTTTTGGAAAACCAAGCAATTAATTCCAACAGGTGCTGCTCCCAGTTGTTGTTTTAGTCATTGAGTCATGTCTCTCTTGCAACTTCATGGATGGTTGCCCGCCAGGTTCCTCTGTCCTGTCCATGGGATCTTCCAGGCAAGAATACTGGAGCTGGTTGTCATTTCCTTCAGGGACTCTTTCCAACCCAGGGATCGAACTTGCACCTTCTGCACTGGCCGGCAGATTTTTTGTCTCTGAGCCCCCAGGGAAGCCTAACTGCTCCCAGTTAGACTAGATGAAAGGAGCTTTTGACAAAAAGTGTGCAGAATTAGTCAACAGAAGACTCATAATCTTCCATTAGGGTAGCACAGGACCACGTGTTTCTTTGATTACCAGATACAACTTGGCTGGAAAGTTCTGACTCATCTGCCATATTCACCAGACATTGCATCTTCAGGTTCCTTTTATTTTGGTCGTTACAAAATTCTCTTTATGAAAAAAATTTCACTTCTCTGGAAGACTGTAAAAGGCACCTGGAACAGTTCTTTGCTCAAAAAGAAGAAAAGTTTTGGGAAGATGGGATTATGAAGTTGCCTTGAAAAATGGCAGAAGATAGTGGAACACTACCCTGGTCAGTAAAATTCTTGGTGAAATGAAAAATGTGTCTTTTACTTAAAAACTGAAGGAACTTTTTGGCCAACCCAATACATTCTTTTTTCAAGTGTTCTTACAAAAGGTGGAGGGAAATAAAAGAATTGTGTATGCACACAGTCTGAGGAAAAAAGTGAGACCTCTCACTTAACCCATTTGAAAGAAAAGGTTTTATTCTCTGTCGCTTCTGAAAAGAGAGCTGGTCCTTGACTTTGAGAAGTACTAGGGTGTAGGGGAAAGGGAAGACCATGGCTTTGAGAACCTAGATTGGAATCCTGACTCCACTCCATACTAGCTGTATGACCTTGGACAAATCCCTTAACCTTTCTGAGCTTCAGTTTCTTCATCTATAGGAGGGCAATCTGTCCCTAACATTTAAAAAAAGTGACAAATGGGAAAATATCCATAATGTGCCCAGCATAATCACTGTAATGTTCTAATGACTCAGGTTTGTTCTTATATCTAGACCCGGAACTTGCATTTTGAGATGTCCTGCTGCTAACTTTTAAGGGGAGAATGATTTTGCTAACTAGACTGTTCTCTTTGTGGAGCTCATATCAAATATGATGGACAATGTAGGCCTATCAAATCCATAAACTCTTACTCCTTTTGATAAATACGGTGAACGATAGACTCATGTTGAATGAATTTGTTAGCATTTAAATTCTGGAAGTCAGTCTTTGGGCACAGGTGGTTGTGGGCGTGTGCGTGTGTATTTTTTCCAGTTGCCTTTCTGAAGGAGATGTGGGGAAAGTAGGGTTTGTTGTAATGACGGTTTTGAAAAGAGCTTTTGTTTCTCTTATGCTTTGGGTGTCTACTGATACTGTAATAGTCTAATGAGGAAAAATGGTGCATCTTTTAAGTACTAAAGAGGTCATTTTTGGTCAGCAAAACACTTGCTAATGTCGTCAAAAGGTCTTCAAAATGAAGTTTGAGACGGATGAAAAAAATTCTAGGTAAATAATAAAGGAACATCCTATAAAGTAAAATTACAGAACAAGGACTTGTCTACAATTCACAGGCAAACACAAAGAGCAAATGCTAACGATTGCTGATGTTTCTGCATAAGTGACCCTAAATATCTTAAAAGTTGAATGAATAGTCTTTCACTGAGAATTGGTGAGAGGGTTCCTAACTAGGCATTTGAGTGCTTACTCAAATGTGTTAAGAAAGCATTCTTCACTGAAACCTGATAAAAAGGTGATGAAACTGATGCACATGGTAATTTATCCTGTTTCTTCTTAGTGCTGAAAGAGTTTAAGTCTATAGAGCTAGTAAACAGCTGTGGTTGAGTAACATGACAATGATGTAATTTATTTGCCTTTGTTTACTAAAATGCTTTTTTTCCTCTTATGCTGTAGCTATCTCAGGCCTTGACTTCTAGGATTATAGTATGCAAGCTTGCTCGCTTTCACTGCCTCCCTGACCCAGAATGCTAGCGAGTGAATCATGGTTACACTTGGCTTGATCAGCCACAAGACAGTGCTACTTTGAACAAAATGGAATGAAAGACAGCAATAGTTATCACCCTCTTCTCCCAGCTTCTGATTTTAGCAGCTGTAAGCTTAGCTTTACTAGATTATCATCAGTTTTACATAATGTCACTCTTCGTTTTTCACCGTCTCCCTACAGCTCCTCAATTTTGTCTGTCAACAGAGCCAGCTTAAGTTTTGGGTAATCTCAGTCTTAGTGTACCTGTAGCAGCCCTTCTAGTTTCTTATGTATTTGTCTGTGTTTTCTCATTACATCTTCTACTGCATCCTCACTGCCATATGCATTCCAGCCTTAATGAATTATTTTACAGTTTTCCAAGTGTCTAGTTCCTGTTCCTTGAACCGTCTCTGCCTGGTATTGATAATGACCCCTCTGGAAATCTTCCTCAAGGGCAGAATTAGGTACTTTTCCTTTGTGTGTTGATTTTCTTTAGATGTCTTGTGATTTTTGGTTGTCCATTGATATTACGAATGAAGATTTAGATTCTAGACACTAGAGTAATTAACGTAGGTAACGAGTATGTTTCCTCCAATTTTGTGTAGATTTCCTTACCCAGTAGCCCCCTACATTGAAAGGGCTGGAGGAGTGTTGATGGGGAGCCCTGTGTGTACGAAGGGTGTTGACTGTTGGGCTTTACTTCAATTTTTTTTTGTTTTTTTTTTTTTTGGTTACAGGCTGAATTTAAATGCATTTGCTACCTGCGGCCATGTGGCCATCTGGGAATGCAAACTGGATGGCAGTTGTTGAATAGTTGGGGCCTTTCTGTTCCTTATGCAGTCTTTACTCCGTGCCTATTTGTGCTGAGCCAGCTCTAATCTTGGAGCCTCTCTGGAGCTGCACCAGAGGATGGCACATACAGCCATTTATGTGTTTAAACACGTTCTCTGTGTTTATTCTTAGATTGTAGCTTCCTTTGCTCTTGTTCATTCATCAGCTGTGAATAGATTTAGTACCTTTTCCCCTATCATTTTGTTGAGTGAGAGCAGAAAGGAGGAGACAAAACACATTTGCCCATTCATCTTGAAATCCTGAGCCGGAAGTTCTATTGCCAAATTTGAACATTTCTGATTTTCAGAACTGAAACAAACTTATATTAGTGCATTATGGACTGTTTCCCAAGTGTTGATAGAATAGTTTTGAATGTTTATAGGATATGAAGTTAATATAATGCTAAAATACAAGTCATCTTTTTATGAATAAGTTGTGTTCTAAAAATAGGTATGAAAACAGAAAGCGACTCACAGACTTAGAACTTATGGTTGCCAGAGGGGAAGGGATGGTTAGAAGTTTGGGAAAGTCATGCACACATTGCTGTATTCAAAATAGGTAACGAACAAGGACCTACTGTATAGCACATGGAACTCTGCTCCAGGTTATGCGGCAGCCTGGCTGGGAGGGGAGTTTGGGGGAGGATGGATACGTGTATGTGTGTGGCTGAGTTCCTTCACTGTTCACCTGAGACTGTCACAACATTGTTAATTGCCTCTACCCCAATACAAAATAAAAAGTTGAAAGTTTGGGGGGAAAATATGTATCAAGTTTTTTAGAGCAAGGAAAGCTGAAAATATGCCAGATACTGGTCTGCAGAGGGTTGGGTGGAGGGGAGGTTCCAGGCATTGCCATTAGCTACTGAAACAAGATGACTCTGCTCATGAGATGTTGTTTACATTCTAGAATTGGAGGGAGTTGTTTGTCTGCCAATGTAAAATTTGCTAACTTTAAGTTATCTTCCGTACTATAACATTAAAGCTCTACTGCTTGTGACTTACTAAAGAAAAGTACTGTTCAGTGGCTGTATACTTAGATTGAGGTTTTAAGTTATGTTTTATATTAATGAATGATAAACTAATAATTTGCCATATCTTCTAATAAGAGTGAATATGAATCTATATGCAACATTACTGTTAATTCATTGATTTTGGGAAAGTTAATTGCAACTGTGTGGTTCAGGGATTTAGTGCAAGAAGAAGAACAGTTGATGGAAGAAAAGAAAAAGAAAAAAGACGACAAGAAAAAGAAGGAAGCTGCTCAAAAGAAGGTAGTATATGTATAAACTAATTACTTATATTAAGCAGTTTGAACATAGATTTGAAAAGAAATTACTCTTATTGGATTACTTAAAGCATTTGATTTAATGTTTTAACTTCAGTGGTGTTTTATTTTAATATTTAATGTCTGAATATGCATAAACATTAATGTGTATGCAATTTAATGCGTAGTTATTTGATCTTGCCAATAATTTTTTTAAAAGGTAAGTCCTTTCATAGGTCTTTTTTTCAATTAGGTGTTCCTAGGTTTTCATAATACTTAACATCATTTTATAGTGAGAAGAGCATGGAATTTATAGCTTTCTAGAGAGGAGTTGAAGTCTGGCTGTCACACATAGCATACAGAAGGGTGTAGCCTTCAATTTTATTTAGCCTCTCTGGCCTTAGTTTCCTTATGTTTTGTAAAATGAGAGTTGAATTAAATAAGATAATTAACACATATGCATAATAGGAAATAATAATGGAAGTAGTAATAAATATAATAGGAAATAGTCTCAGTTTTCTTTTCCCTGTTTATTTAGTACCTAGGCTCTTTTTTTTTTTAATTTTAAGGTTTTGTTAGGGTGTTTATGTTTTTTTTTATACTTTAAAGTTTATTTTAAATTATAATATATTGATTTTACATACAGTCGAATTTTCACTTCTTGATGTACAGTTCTGTGAGTTGTGAAGCATGCTTAGAATCATATCATAACCACTGTCACAATCAAGAAACATAAGGTTCATTACCTTAAAAAAAAAGTGTCTCATGGTATCCTGCTGTAATCAAAGGATATTTAAAAATAAGCCTAGACATAAATGCTGCAAAAAATCTTTAGCCAGTACATTAATCAAAAATTATAACCAAAGCAACACAAATTGCAGAAAAATAAAAAATGTCTGTAAAGATTTTTACAAATTAATAGTGGAGGCTGATGACAGTTAACTGAGCTGGGCACTCATCTCCTACTATATTGTTTCAAGGACCTTAAAAATGTTCTTAAAGACCCAGTGAAGATACTATTCCATTTCTGTATTCTAATGAAAAGTTATGACTTTAATTTTTAAATATATATCTTTTGATAGTAGCAACTGAGTTTAAACTATAGTAACAGAATTATCTCCCCATTATTTAGTAGGGAAAAACTCAGGGTACAAAACTATGACAGGTAGGGAGCTACTGAAGCGCAGAGAGAAGAGCTTAACTCAGCCTGAAATGGAGTAGAGAGACAGGGGAATTTTCTTAGAATAGAAATGAACCAAGTGAGTGAGGAGCAGAATGGAAAATGGTTCCAGCAGTAACTGAGAATTAAGAGTCCATAGCTTGTATGTGTTAAAGTATGGGTTTTGATGGGAAGGAGTGGTAGGGAAGGCCAAGTGTGGAAATGAAGCCAAGTGTAGAAATGTCAGGGGACAAGACTGGAGAGGCTGCTCATAGCTGTTGGCACTTCTCTCATTTTGACCGTTGGGTGGCCAAAGACGTTTTAGTAGAGTGACATAAAATTTTCTGTTTTAGAATTGTATTTAGAACCTTGACCGAGTATAGAATTGGGTTGGGTAGAAACTAGAGACTGTGAAGGAACTATTAAAAGCATCCATAACATTTGTTTAAAGGATATGAAGGAAGAGTAATTTAGATTGACCCTTAGGTTCTAGATTGAGTGGCTAAATACATCTTGAAAGTGAAAGTGAAGTTGCTCAGTCGTGTCTGACTCTTTGCGACCCATGGACAGTAGCCCACCAGGCTCCTCCATCCATGGGATTTTCCAGGCAAGAGTACTGGAGTGGGTTGCCATTGCCTTCTCCAGAGGATCTTCCCGACCCAGGGATCAAACCTGGGTCTCCCACATTGTAGGCAGTACTTTACTGCCTGAGCCACCAGGGAATCTTAGAAGTTTAACCAGGTTGGGGGATACACAGAAAGGGGAAAAGAAATATAATTCAGTTGTGGACTGCAGAGTTTGGGTTACAGTGAAGCCAGTAAACTGGAGGACAGAGTACAGAGCACTGAGTGAGTGATGAGATGAGTTGATTTAATAGGTGACCCTTATTATTGGCCTCTGGTTACTCAGGAGTGAGGGGGAAAGATGCATTGGTGGTTGGTAGGTAAGGTTTCGGATGATTCCTAGTATATAGTTTTGGCATTGGTGATGCCGTAGGCCTCTGTCAGAGGCCTGTTGGTATAGGACAGTCTTTGCTCAGGATTTGTTATGAAAAAAGTTGTATCTCTGTAAGTTTAAAGTGGGGAGGGAGCCTTATCATACTCTTGTTTGAAGACCAATTACTTAACGAAAAGAGAGTCTTAAGAAACTTGAGATTTATTGAGAAAGATGCTAGGGTGCACTTTGTGTAGAATCATTAGTTTGGCAAGCATCTGAGTGATGGCATTAGGCCATATTGATCCCTGCTTCTAGAGTTCAACATTTAGCTGGTAAGTTTAGGATGTATGTGAAACGACAGGAGGCCTTATTGTATAATGAAACATGTTAATTTGGAATTCACTCTTAATTACTGAGGAGATTCTAAGAAAGGGAGGAGTTATTCAAATGATTTCTTTAAATACTCTGTTTTTTGTTTTTATTTTTTATTTAAGGAATAGTTGACATGCAGCATTTTAGTGCATGCTAAGTCACTTCAGTCATGTTCGACTCTTGTGACCCCATGGACTGTAGCCCACCAAGTTCTCCTTTCCATGGAATTTTCCAGGCATGAATGCTGGAGTAGGTTGCCATTTCCTCCTCTAGGGGATCTTTCTGACCCAGGGGTCGAGCCCAAGTCTCTTATGTCCACTGCATTGGCAGGTGGGTTCTTTACCACGAGTGCCACCTGGGAACTATTTTAGTAGTTTCATGGATATAGCATAACGATTCAGGATATGTGTCTGTTGTGCAGTGATCACCACAAGAAGTCTATCTAATCATTTTTTTTTCTTGTAATGAGGACCTTTAAGATTTTAAATACTGTATTTTTAAAAAATGTGAGTATAATTTTAAAGTCGCATATTTAAATAATGACTCTAGTTGTTGAAGTTTACCTTTACACTCTTCATCACCAAATCTGAATCACCAAGTGTGTCTTTAATGCACAGATGATGATTTTTGTGGCATTTGGCCTCTCAAAATCTGAAGCGACAGTTCTTCACACTCTTCACTGCTCCATCCCTGTCTCACGGTATGGTTCATTGCTCACCCCAGCTGTGTCCCACTGAAACCACCATCAGAGGCTTAGCGATATGAGGAGGGTTTTTTCCCCTTTCATGAGATCTTCAGCTTTGATAGGGTATTGCTATGTATTCTGTATACACAGTAGTATCTGGGGATTGAACATAATATAAAGAATATTTAATACTGCTAATAAATGCTAAGCTTAGTAGACTGAACTGGCACTGTAAATAAGACTGTTCTCCGAATCCCACATAACTGGCTTACAACTGAATTTGAATACAACCCATTGGTGAAATGAGGACAGCTGGTGTTTCTGTAGGCTGTTACCAAATAGTTCTTTAAAAACAAAACAAAAGGAAAGATCACCCAAGCTGGCACACTCACAGCCCATGTGAAAGATGGTGAGTCGCAGGAATCCTCCATTTCCTTAAGCTAGCATTTGGCTGTAGCAGGAGCCAGCAGGTGTATCCAGGTAGAGGACAGACGTCTCCACAAGTCAGGGAGATGAGCCCGTTTATATAAATGTTGGAAACACGAATTCACTCTGGTAGAGACAGTCTGTCTGTGTCATGTAATCTGTGTACACTTTTTAAAAGACTACGTATTTTTGTTTCTGAAAAAGACTTCAGATACTATCTGTTTTAATTCAGTGAGTTTATGTGTAAGGAACACATAAAATGAGTTAAGTGTCACCATCAGAGTGATGGAACAGGAATAGAATTGAAATCTTCTATTTCCCCCAGCTGATGGTTTTCCAAAACTCAGTGCCATGGCTTTACCCTTTTGGTACAGAACTTTAACTTGTACTTTTATGTTTTACCAACCAAAGGTGAACTTTAAAGCTGGAAATAATATGATAGTTTTTATAAGATATTTAGTAAATCTTTAAAATGAATACAGAATACTATGAATACAGAAAACAGATTTAACAGTTTCTAATTGCCACTGTGGCAACTTAAATTTAATAGAAATTCAAATTCAGACCACGAGTTAGTCTCTATTTTAAATGAGAAACTAGATAACATAATTCCTTACATAAGCAATCAGACAAAGCTCACTGTACTATTTATACTATGATTGTTTTTCTAATTTTGTCTATTAGTTATCAATTTAAATATTTTAAATTCCTCTATAAAATTTTTTTACACAAAATTGCATGGTTTTTATGATATTTCAGTCCCAGTACATCTCTAGTTAATAACAGAAATCAATGACCAGATGATTTTTTTTGAAGCCTTCTATTTCACATCAAAGAATTATGGCTGTTTGCTTATCTTCTGATTCTAGGCTCAGAAAATAATTTAATACAGCACAAGAATGTAGTTTCTGTACTTGAGAAAAGGGCAACAATAGTAGCAATAGGTTGTTAGGATGAATTTCTCTCATTTCTGGTTTTAGAAGAAATTTCTAGAAGGAATCTTGAGGGAAATGTAGTGAGGAAGAAAAAGGAGGATGAGAAACAGGTTAATTACAGAGGGATAATTTAGTATCAACTTTGCTTTAAACATGTAATTATAGTTCCTAGAAAGCATGTAATGGTTGAGGGTTGGAGGAGAGAAGCACCAAGGCAAATTGGGATGTTTTGGTTGAGAATGTGTAGAAGTCAGTATTCTTGAGTGTTTTTGTTACCGTGTTAAAAGCTCAAAGGGATTTTTATAAAAGGCTTTGTGGATTTAATGTGCTCATATTGAGTTTAAATGAGAAGTAGATTGTAGGAAACTTCCAATTTCATTCCTCCGTTTTGGAAATTTTAGTATTTACTAGTCCTGTCTCCCAAAGGTCATTTTGTTCTGAGACTGGGAATCTTACCTGGCACTGTTAAGACATTTTAGATGATTTGAAAGGGAAAAAAGCAAGACCTGGGAGCTGGGAGTGGGTTTGAGTCCGATCCCTTCCCAGTGTGAGAGCACGGAGCCAGAGCGTGGGCGAGTAGGGCTGATGGTAGCCATACTCAGTCCTGTTTACTGAATGCTTTTACTGAATGCTTTCTGTCTGCTTGACGCGACGCCAAGTGCTCGCTCTCTCTTCCCCCTAAGCTCTTGATGTGAGTTCAGTCCTTTTAGCCTAGCAAGTCTGAGGTAGGTGTTTTATTCCTGTCTTAGAGATGAGGAAACCAAGCTTTAGAGAAGTTAACTAATTTTTGACCAACGTTACACTGTTCACAGTGAAGCCAGGAGTGAAAATGAGGCCGTTGGGCTTCAGACCCTGAGTTCTTAACCGCTGAGGCATACTTAAGGGTTGAGGAGCTGGGTCGAGTTGTGCAGAGCCTGACAGAAACAACAGCAGGCATGGACCTGGAGTGTCTGCCACTTGTCTTCACTGGTATACTGAGACAGTGGTGCTAATTGCTGTGGAGTCGCAGCTCAGGTTTGTCTGTTTGTTTGTTTAAGAAAACCCGTATTCAAAATAGAAATACTTTTGCTTCTCAGTTTGCTGAATCCTTTAGTTCTGTTGTACAAGATCCACAATGATACTTCACGTTGAATAGTATTATTTATCCAGAAAAGGTTTATATCTTACTTGAGCCTCATGAGAGCCCTGGAAAGGTAAGCAGTACAGTTTTTTTTTCCCCCCTCCTCCTCCATTTGAGGGATTGGGAAACTGAGACGTAGGTTTAAATGACGTAAATGTCATTTGAATGACAAGGTCATTTCAAAGTAAAAACAAATTGCTGAAGTTAATTTTAACATATATTACATAACCCCGTATATCCAAAATATTGCTATTTTAACTTGTAATCAGTATAAAATATTATCAACGAGATAATTTGCCTTTTTAAAAAATGCTCACACTAACTCTTATCTCAGTGGTCAGTAACCACATGGGGATAGTGGCCTCATTTTGACCACTGCAGACAAATACTCTTAAAATCACTGACCCCCACTTGGAAAACTTTCTTTTTAATAGTTTGTGTAATATGCAGGGTCCCTGGACCAACTCAGCACAAAAACCTGTTTGAATCATTCCATTTGCTCCTCATAAGGAGCTCTCTTGGGTTCTGGTAACTAACATTCTTTCACTATATTAGTTGGTGTTCTGATGGGCAGACTCCTTTGAGTGTCTCCTTGGTGCTGTTGTCTGTAGATGACACAATACTTGGATGAGGTTAACCACTGTTCTCAAGCAACGTGGAGGTTTTTTCCCCCAAAGGAGCTGGCATAGTAGATATCTTTTACGTTGTAAGGCCTAGAAGAGCAATACTGCATGTCTTGAGATTTAGTAATATGGCCATGGTTTCTCTGTACTGTAGCCTGGTTTCCTTTGGAAATAAGCCGTGGAAGAAACCAGGAGAGTTAAACAAAAAGATAGAAATCCCCACAAAACAGCACACAAAGTCTGTCTTCAATGCAGAATAATTTCTGTGTAGATTTTGTTTCAGAAAATTATGTTATCTTATTGTTTGGCATGATATTTATAACACTTGAAAGTATTCAGGTACTGAGTTCTATTTTTCTACAGCCAGATTTTAAAAACAATTTCTCCCAGAAATAAATGTTCAAGCTAGTTGACTGGTCTTTTGCCATTGTCCTTCCATCAATTTTTTTTTTCTTTTAAATTTTAAATCCATATAAAGTAAAGATGGGCCTCCATTATTGTACTTGTTACTAGTCCTCTAAAACTTGGTAAAGCATGTAAGTGCCTTGATTTACTCTGCCTTTCTAGGCAAAGGTTCATGTTTGGTATGGCTTCAGTATTATAGTAATTGCCATACAGTGTTTTACCATGTAGTTCCACAATGATATAATTTTTTAAATGGTGTTTTTGGCAACAGTTTACTGTGATTAAGCAAAATGATTTATCCTGTCCTATGACAGTTTAATAAAAATGCTTATCTTCATTTAGAAACAATTCCTGATTATTCAGTAACTAATTATTCAGTCTTCCCTCACCTCCCTGCCTCCCTGCCTATCTGCCGATCCTTGTATCTTTTTGTTTTTTTAAGATTCCTACGCAGTTGGGCATAATCAAAAACTTGATTTTCTCTTGTGGCCTTTGTCAGTTCTTATCGAGGCCCTTGAAGTTTGAGCCAGGCACCTTTGGGCAGTCCTCCTGTGCTCAAGCCCCTCCCTGTGTTGTATCAGCCACAGTGCAAGTAGGGGCAGGCATGGGAAGCAGCGCCCACAGCAGTTTAGCTTCAGAACACAGTCATTTGAATTTAATTGTCAGATGTGTAGGAAGAGACAAATACATTTCAAAATTTTTCCCACCCCAAAATACCTAAAAGTTAGCTATGTTTAACTGCAGCAGCCTAACTTCCAGGTGATAAATTTGTACTAGTTTGGCCAAAGAAGTTATATGCAGCTTTTCTTCCAGAAAACATGATTTATCTTTTGTCATTTGAAATAAGAAAATTTGAAGCCTTTTAAACATATGCAGAATTCAGTAGATCCATTAAAGGTAATGGTGACAGTTACATAAAAATAATTTTAAAACCAAATGAGAGAAGTGCAGTTCCATTTTTTATTATATACTGTCATACAATGGTGTCTTCTCCACTTTGTACCTAAAACATTTTGAGAATTTTTTTAAATTAATAAACATTGTGTCAGGGACAATGGGGCACATCTGTGGGAAAAGCATGCTTTCTTTGCATATCTTTTCCTATGCAGTTCATCTAAATGACGAATTCCTTATTTAATAAAAGTGTATATGTCTTATGTAATAGTAATGTATGAACATTTTATCATAACCATTTCTTTCAGTTTCATATTTACATTGTTTTTTGTTTGTTTGTTTTTATTTTAGGCCACTGAACAAAAAATCAAAGGTACGTTGTTTAAAGCTATTTTTTATTATTTTTTTCATTAAAGCAAGGTTGTTGATATGCATTTTTATTCATCTCCAGGATGGGAGAGAGAAGAGCGTGAAAGGAACAGAGGGGTGGGGGCAGACTTCTGCAGTGACATCACCTTGGAGTCGCCTTTTGGGGTTTATGGGTTATTGTAGTATATATTTTACCACTTTAAAAATACACTGTCTTAAGGCCTACCTTTCAACTATCTCCTTAAACACCACTTAACTAACATACTCCCTGGATTTGAGTGTTTGAACACACGTACCTTTCCTCTGGTCCTCCGTCTAAAAGTCATCTTGTCTGGAGCTACCTCTAGGGCGTTATTCCTTGTTCTCTGTATACTGTTGTCTCCCACTCCTCCCTGTAGGCAGACAGTGACATCCATTCTATGTTACCTCTGAGAATATTAGATTGCTAACCTTATGGTGAGGTTGAACAGCCCCCAGTACATGCCAAGCAAAAGACTTCAGGGTGGTGAGGAAACAGGAACCTTATTCCTCTCAGACCCTGAATCAGAATTTCTTCACCCTCCTAGAAATTAGTGAAAGGTGTACGGCTGTCTGATGCTGAACTTACTGGGCCTAGAGATCGTGAATTTTTACTTAAGCTAATACCAAAAGTATAATCTCTGCATTTGACCAATATCTGAACTCAGAACTGCCTGTTTCTATTAGAGGTTTCTGTAAGGAGTTGGTTAAGGTCCCATTTTTAGATGCAGTTGTTTGAGAGGGAACAGCAACAGTTAAGGAACACCTTTTTTGAGCTTGTGAGTCTTAAAAGATGAGATAGCCAGTCAAGGAAAATGATGACATGGCAGAGGGATCAGCATCATTGAAGAGATAGAGACAAGAAATAACGTGATGTTAATGTGTACTAGTGGTATCCCAGGAGTGCTAAGTAAGTACCCAGTGCTGAGTGGGCAAGGTTAAAGGATTTTCCTGACGGAGGTTGGTAGGGGCCAAAGAGGGCCCTGTATGCTAAATGTACTAAAGGAGCCACTGAAGGAAGAGCTCAAGAAGAGGGTGACATCACCATTTGTTTTTTCATTCTTCTTGTAAATCCATCAGTCATTTACATGGAAAGTTTGGTTGAAATATGGGCAGGGATTTGAAAGATGGTGCCAACAGAAGACCCTGGGCAGAAGAGGCGGGTGAGCAAGAAGAGGGAATAGTCAGAGAAGGAGTACAGGAATGCTAAAGGGAGACGGCAGAATGTAGGCACGGAGGTGGGGGGGACCGGAAGACTGATTTTTCCATGTGAGGGTCATGGTCATAAGCTGTGCTTTAGGAATATTTCTTTGTCAGTTGTGTCTAGTGTCACCAAATAGAAGCAGTTCCAAAGAGGGCAGAGAAGGAATGAGACAGAAATGGGGATTTGAACTGAGGTCTTGGCAGTAGAGGTAGGGGATGGATGAGCGATGTGTGAGGTACAGTTGAGAGCGTTGGCAGCTGGTGAGAGCAGAAGAGAGCCGAAGGTGATGCTGTGGCCTCGAACCTGATGTCTCAGTTACAGGGATGTGGAATGATGTAGGGAGTAGCATTGCCAAATTAATTAACATGGGGAATTCCCTGACGGTCCAGTGGATAGGACTCTGTGCTTCCACTGCAGGGGCCACAGGTTCCATCCTTGGTCAAGGAACCGAGATCTCACAAGCCTCACAATGTGGCCACAAGAAAAAAAAAATTTTTTTTTTAGTAAGAACATGACCAAATTAGTTTTCTTAAAATTCCACTTTTATCACACCACTCCCTTGGATAGGAATGTTGAGTTGTGTTTGTTACTTTGCTTCGAAACAACCTGATTGACTTAAAGGCCCTCTTTAATCCGACCTTTCTAACCAGCTTGTTTCCCATCACTCCTTCATATTTTTCAGATCCTTCGTATCTTTTTATGTTCATTCCTGTTTCTATTTCTTTTTGATCCCATTTCTCAGCCAAGGATGCCTTTCAGCTTTTCTAAACCTCTCAGAACTTATTTTCTGATGGATCCCTCCAACTGCCATTGATCCTTCCCTTTCTGATTTCTTAAGATGTTGTGACATGTATTAAACTTGGGGCACAAAGTTATATTCTAACCTTAGATTTTTGACTGGTCCATGGATATTTGTTTCTTTAAGCTTGATCTTTGAGTGCCTGCTGTTTATATCCTTTCCAAACAGAAGTCATTTCTTTTACATCCATACACGAAACATGAACATATTTGAATCTTTTTTAAGAAACTTTTTCCCACAATTCTGAGAATGTTGGGCTGAGTGTATGAAGGTCATTTCAGAATACTTTGTTGTTTTGCCAGCTGTTTTACTCACTTTATCCTTTGGATGGCAGCTGCTTTCATACTTGGTCACACTCTGATTCATGAAAGTGTATCTGTTTTCGTGGTACGTATAATATCTGTATGGTGTTTATGGTTTGGGGTTTGCAGTGATTAGATTACAAATTGAAGTCTTGTAATATGGGTTTGGCTCACACAGTTGATTTTTGCTAAGCTTAATTTTGGAATAATTTATGATTTACCAAAAAGTTGAAAAATAGTACAGAGAGTTCTCATATATACCTCACCCAGTTCCCCATTATTCGCTTCTTACACTTCCGTGGTAGTTTTGTCAAAACTAGGAAAATGACATGAGTTGATTGGTATTACTGAACTCCAGACGGTATTTCAATTTTACTGTTTCTTCTGTTAACTTTTCTGTTCTACCACCCAGTGCAAAATAATTTGTTTAGCTATCATTTCTCCCTGATCTCCTGTGGTCTCCACACAGCGTTTTTATTGATATCCTTTAAATTTTTAATTGATTGCCAACATTTAAAACTCATGAGAATTCACCTTAATTCAAGATTATAGTTTATACTGTCAGCATCGTTTTTGTCTTTTTGTATTATAGAGTCTGTATAAAGCCCAAGTTTAGTTACATGTGGCTTTTAAGTACTTGAAATGTGGCTAATGCTGCTGAGGAACTGAATTTAAAATTTTATTGGCCCACATAGCTCTAGAACCTCCTTCTTCGTTGTTAGAGTCAAGATTTTAGTGCTCAGACTGAGCATAATTGATGAGGCTGCACTTCCTTTAGAAGTCTGCCTTCATGAGCGATTTCTTTTTCTAAGGCTACTGCCACTCGCTTAGGTGCCAGTGTTGGTGTCATTCACTGGTGGAGTGTATAAAAGCTGGATTTCTGTAAGGTGTCACAAATTCAGTTCTTGACCAGCTTTGTTATATGAAAACTATGATGTTTATTTCTTGGTGTGGTGAACTCGTGGTTCATCTCACAGAAGTGTGGACGTTTATGAGTGACATAATGACATTTTTGAAAATTTTATTCTTGTGACTTGAACTTTGAAAAACCATGAGGAGCATAAGTATTGGAATGTTTGAATATTTGAAGTTCCTTTTTAAAGTATGTATTTGAGTATCTCTTTGAAACAGCAGGGAAATGAAGGGCTGAAAACATTATGGTGAGATACAGGAATGGATGAATATCTTGTGGACCTTACACTGTAAAGGCAAGGAAGAAGTGATTGGGAACTCTGGAGGGTAAAGGTCATTTTAAAAAAAAAACTTTCTAACTCTGACACTGGCTTGTTTTGGAAGCATACAAAGGATTGTACATTCCTTACAAAAGAATAAGCACTGTTAATTTTTGTCAGCTGATAGTTATTTTTCTGTCTGTATATTATGCCAGGGCTTTCTTCAGGTGGTTTCATAAGCAAGCTAATTATAGAGAAGGGTAATCCCTAGTGCTCCTAATGGAGATAAGGGGAGCTTTCAGATGGAAGCAGGAACAGAGAAAATTTGGGACAGATTTTTGTTTTCTGATGATCACATAGGGAAGCATAGTTTATTATTGCTGTTCTGTTTCTGGATTAATTTAAAACTCATGAGACTTAAATCAACATTTAAAACATTTTTGTTTCTGCCACAATTAGAAACCATTATTTGTATTCAGTTCTAATCTTTTCTGTTTTTCTGTCAAACACAAATTCGTTACTTAAATGCATTGATCTAGGATGTGATAGAAATGTCCAAGAGCTGTTAGATCAGCTGCATGTCACCTCATGTTAGAGGCATCAGGATCGGTAACTCTGGGCACTGACTGTGCAGCATGCAGGGTGCTTTACATTTGCTTCATTTTATCAAGGTGAGATTCTAAATATCTAATCACTAGTAGTGAATGGGCACCAGTGATGCAGAGCACTGTCCTGCAGCAGGCCTGAAAGCTTGATGTACTAAGAGTAAAACCAACTCTTGGCTAATGAATTTTGGGAAATATGTGGGACCCAGTGAAGGGACCAGAGCAGCAGGCTGGGAACCATGAGACTTCATGCACTGGATATTTAAAAACTAATATGGGAATGGCTTCCTCAGTGTGTACTAGTGCAGTATAAGCCTGCATTTAATAATTTCAACAGCCTTAGGAGAGTGGATAGCATTATCACTATTTACAGATAAAATCAAGACTAAGGAAGTTTAAGTAACTTGCCTGTTGGTTATGCAGCTGATTAATGTCTGAGTAAGGATTGGACTACTAACCCTACTGGTGTCTATGGCTTTGTTTTCTTTGAAAACATCCCTGTGGTTAGTTACATGGAAGACAAAACAGGAGAGCTGCACCATTGCCCATGCTTTAATAATATGCAGCAAATGAACTAAAGCAATGCGTCTTTTAAAAATACTACAGAAAGGTCTTTTAATAGTGTATGAAAGTATATGTATACACATATTCCCATATATATATGATATTTCCCATTTGAGCACAAAGAAAGAAATAAAAACTGTATTACCAGCATAATTTTTTTAATTAGAAAGGTTTTGACAGCTTTGTGATATGTGAGGTAGTTGGTTTTTCAGGAATTTTTAACGTTTCGTGAGATATTTATTGTGGGCCCACCCTGTTTCATGCACTGTTGTGGTCACTGTTGTGCATGGATAAAACAAACTCCCAAGTTCCTATTCCCACTGTGTTACCATTCTCATCC